CGGATACATCAGGAATAGCTTCAGACAAAATGGTAATTTCCTGCTATTCCTTTTTGTTCTTTTGTTTTTTCTTGCTGATACATGGCAGTGCTTTTCTTTCGCCATCTTTTCTTAACACTGTCGCCATACACCGTTCACCATCATTCTCCTGCTTCTTCACCTCATCCTCCTCCTTCCCATCATCATCATTATCATCATTACCATCATCATCAGCAGCAGCAACAGTCACACTAAAAGCAAAACTTATCGAATTTTATAGGTCAATTTTCGCTTTCCTCACTCGTCTACTTCCAAACAAGTGATTACAAAAAATGATAAAGGGAGAAAAAGAAAAATATAGAAAAAAAAAGTAAGAAATGAAAAGGAAACTGTTGTTCATACCGTCTAAATGAAGTTACTTGTATTTATACATTTATTTTTCACTTATTTCGTCAATAAAAATATAAACGATTTTTTTGCTAAAAAATGGCACTAATAACATTTCAACATTTATTATAATCATTAATATAATTATTAGTTTTTTTTTTTTTGTTTCCTTAATTCCTAACTGATGTGGTAACGAAAACGCGCAAAGTTATAACGTCAGTAAATAGCCGTCAATGGTTCAATTATTTGTGATCAGCAACATTCTTCAACAAAAAAATAGCATGACAAAAAAAAGAGCCCTTCTATCAATACCAATGCCCAAGATCATTACCGACAAAATATGGCCAAGAAGTATATCAAATTCACCAAAACAACAATAGTTTAGTTTAAAATTGAAAAAAAAGCTAAAATTCATTAATGACAAGGAAAAAATAAAAAAAGTAAAAGACAGCGTTAAAAGTTAAGTGAAAATCTGAAAACAATGTGATTGAAAGATTAGAAGTTGAAAACTATCAGAAAAGCAAAAAAAAAAAAACTTATGAAATACTCGGCAAAAATGGCTCTTCATGAAATTTTTTCACTTCAACACTGGAAAAAAAAAGAAAAATATAAAAGAAAAAAATTTATGATCTAAAAGTAGTTCATGAAAAAAAAAGTAAAGCAATGCAAATCTTTGCGGATTTGAGTCTCACAAGGATTTAACATCTGTAAGATATGTTCAACGTTTAAACTGCATAGTATCTGCTGAACAGTATCATATTTTTTGAAAAAACCGGTAAAATTTTGAAGTTAACAAGCACAGATTTAGTTTGAAGTGAAAAAGATTGAACCGATCTCAAATTTCCCTTCGGTTATAACATTAATCTCGTTTATATCTGTAAACATAGCCATTCCTTCAACTTTAGTTTGCGTGCATTTGTTGCCATCATTATAACATTCATACTGTTTTTCTTCGTCCTCAAAACCATTTTTCATGATTCTCTGCACTTTTTCCTTGCCATTTTTGATTTTTTTTTTTTTTTTTACAATAAATCCTTATGCTATTTCAATCGCTACAAAATAAAAAAAAAAATCGTTTTTTTTTTTTTTTTTTTTTTTTCA